ATTAAGATATACAGTATATTTACAATAATATAATATATACGCAATATATAATAAAGATATTTGAGACACAAGAAAAACTTATTCTAATAACTTTAACAGACAAGATAAATGGTATTTAAAAAACTGACCATATAAAATATATAAAAAACTGTCTATATATTCTTGAAACATTCCAATATCTCGGATAAAAATCACATAATTATATGAAGTGAAGATATAGATATTAGAAACATATATGTATATGTATATAGTATATAGTATTAGGAACATATCTCAAAATATTTTTTAAAGGCATATCAATAAAAGATATATTAGCAAATAAAGTAAATTCTTTTTTAACTTATGTATATATATTTTTTTAAATTATATATTAATATAATGATCCATATTCATGTGGATGATTTCTTACATTAATGTGTATGTGTGTGCAACACAATATTATGTAATGTAATTTCATAGAATTATTTAAATTGTGTTCCTATTTAAGCTGGTCCTAGAATATCCATGTTTGCCGTTGTATCTTGAACATTGCTATGCGCAATCATGTATTCTGATACAGATATATATATTGCAACTAGCAAGCCAATAATACTTGCTGCATAAATATTGCGCTGCAAGATAATACATATCGCCACACATAGCCCAAAATACGTCAGATATCGCGCCAGATTTTCCTGTTTTTTGCGGCCAAGAAGATCTGAATCTAAAAACATAAATTATAAATGTTATTCAAAATATATCATACATTGTTTTATTTTTAGTATACTTACTTATACACATATTATCCTTTTTATGATGTCCTTCGGCACATTTGATACACATGTCCGGGCCATCGCCAGTGCAGCCATCGCAAGCTTTGTCGCAAGCTGGAAAAATTTCAAATTTTTAATTTTAATATAAATTGTTTATTTAAATCATTTCAATATAAATTGATTATTTTAATCAAAACTAAAAAAAAATTGTAGAATTTATTAATAATTTACAGCATATGTATATACCTAAACAAGTATAGCTTCCTTCTTTATTAATGCAAAATTGATTGCCAGGACAAATCTCATCACTTTTTATACATTCGTCAATATCAAAGCAGCCTTTGCCTTCAATCATGTGCCATCCATTGGCGCCACACATAGCCCAAAATACGTCAGATATCGCGCCAGATTTTCCTGTTTTTTGCGGCCAAGAAGATCTGAATCTAAAAACATAAATTATAAATGTTATTCAAAATATATCATACATTGTTTTATTTTTAGTATACTTACTTATACACATATTATCCTTTTTATGATGTCCTTCGGCACATTTGATACACATGTCCGGGCCATCGCCAGTGCAACCGTTGCAAGCTTTGTCGCAAGCTGGAAAGATTTCAAATTTTTAATTTTAATATAAATTGTTTATTTAAATAATTTCAATATAAATTGATTAATTATTTTAATCAAAATTTTAAAAAAATTATAAAATTTATTAATAATTTACAGCATATGTATATACCTAAACAAGTATAGCTTCCTTCTTTATTAATGCAAAATTGATTGCCAGGACAAATCTCATCACTTTTTATACATTCGTCAATATCAAAGCAGCCTTTGCCTTCAATCATGTGCCATCCATTGGCACACTTTTCGCAATCCTTTGGTCCAGCGCCACTGCAAGACCCATCGCACGCCATGTGACATGCGGAACATAACAAGGTCTTTTCATCTTTATAAGACTCATAGTATCCCGAAGCACACTTTGAACAAGTGTCTCCGATATATCCTTTGTCACAGAAGCAACCACCGTTTCCTTTTCTCGTACCACCTCCTTTACACTTGCCATTGTTACTACAGATCTTATCCGGATATCCTGGACAAGGCGTACAATTTGGACCATAGTGATTCTCTGGACAACAACGCTCCGTTTTTTCGATGCAAATATAATTGTGTATATCTGGATAAATGTCTTGATGTTTGAACCACCATTCCTCTATCTGACCTTCCAATTCCTCCGCTAAAGATTGGCACTGCGTCTCACCATTTTTGACTTCTTTACACAAGTTCTCTTGTATCTCGACTAATCGAATTTCGCTTCTCGAATATGAACCTAGCTTGTCCTCTTCCCAGGCGCTGTCTCCACCCTCAAACTTCCCACGACTCGTTCTTTCTAGACCCTACAAAGGATTTATAACTTGTAAAGTTTTACATTGACTAAAAAATTGTGTAATATCTAAATACAATTAACACATTTTTATTTTTAACGTATTTGATATAATTTTAATATATAATATAATTTGTGCTAAAAATCATTTTTTAAAGTTATAAAAGCAAAGGTATGTTTACCTTTTTGAAACTATTGGTAAGTATTTTGCATGCTGCACAGGGTGGGAATATTTGGGATTTACGTTCCTCCTTGTCGGCCGGCTTTTCTTTCTCACATTGGACGTCGATCATGCAAATCGATGCGATTATAAACAAGTTGAGGAAAACAATGACACTGGTCGGCACTTGCATTATACCGCGCCGGCTATCGACACGTGTGGTTTACAAAAAATATAGGAAGCACAAGAGAGGAATGTATTTGTTACTCCCGAAAAAAATAGTTACGAACGTCTTCTGAACGCTTATTCTATTCCTTATTAGATTAGATCATAATTATTATAGCAAGTAGTTTCATTTGAAACGATTGACAGATGGATACCCAAGGTTAGACGGACCAGACGACTAAACGTGTCTTCCGCGAGTGCGCATGCGCGAGCCGCCGACCAATCGGAACGCACCGCGTACAATTCGTCGATGTGTCTCAAATTCCTTGGTCAATGGTCTGCGAAAAGCACGCATCGGACAGCCAATCAGATGCGCGAACGCTGCTCGCGTGTTTCTAGGGAATTAATTTTATAACTAGAATCTTACTAGTCAAAAAAAGTCACGTGAATAGCATCTATGTATCCGTATCGGTCATTATAATTCGTGGTGAAATATAGTGACGTGTCTCTCGTCGTGTGTCAAAAAGTGAAGAATTTTGAGAGGGTGATGTGTAATTAATTTACACGGCGTATGAAATAAAATTAGTCGAGATGTTAACGAAATTTGAAACGAAGTCCGCGCGAGTGAAAGGATTGTCCTTTCATCCGAAACGTCCCTGGGTGCTTGCAAGGTAAAGTGGCACCCGTTTTTGACTTATTGACCATTTCGTAACATTTTAACACTTGTAGAATGTTTTTTTTACAAAAACAATGTCTTATTTAAATTATCCATTAGATTAGAAAATTATTGAATGAATATTTTTAAATATATACAATATTGCATGTTGATATAGACATAACCTTTAATTTATTGCATAGTGCTTTAATTAATCTGTGTGTGTGAACATGGATGCTGATACTTTTATAAAGAGATTATATTTTTTAATTAGAAACTATTTTTATTATATTAAAATAAAAAGATTCATAATTTATGTAAATGTCAAACGATTTTTATTTTAATATAATTCAAGCAATATGTATAAAATTGCAATAAGCTTTGTTACATTATACTCAAAATCCTGTTATTATTAATGTAATTGTCAGAAAGTATAGAATATAGTCTCTTTTGATTGTTGATATTCACGCACGTGTCTTAGATGTTGCATTAGTCGATATCTCCATTGAAGGACTTGTTTCTGTATTTGCAAGTTTAGTAGTATTTGTTTTGTCCTCTGTAGTTTGTTCAACAGAACTCTCAGATGTTATTGCAAGATTTACAGGAGTACTACTTGTAATTTCTTTCTCTACTTTCTTAGATGTAGTCGTGAATTCCAGTTTATCTATGGCGATAGCAGATTTATTTGATGTTTTGTCAACTGCATCTGCCGTTGATCCCAGATCGGATCTTGATTCTATTTTACTGGATTCTATAGAGCCGGATTCAGAGACAGTAGCATCAGTTTGTGAGCTTTCAATATCATTTGATTCTAGAGAAATTTTTGTATCTTGAGCAGCTGTTGATGTATATTCATTGTTATTGCTAGGAATCGTGATCGCTGCTCGATAAAATAATGGCACAGAAGGATTATAAAGATTAAAATTATGCAAAGGTAGTCTTAACTGGGAATAAGGATCGTGAGGATAATAACTTTGTATCGCACTTGGTGACACATGATATCTTGGAAACACCGTTGGAAAGTCCAGTAAATTTGTTCTAAATGCAGGATAAGGTAAATCCACAAAGGAGATTTGCTGAAGAGGTACTTGATGTTCGACAAAATTATCATCTGCTTCAAAGCTCTTTGATAGTTCCTTCTCTTCCTTGAGATTTTCAGCATTCACATTAAAATCTTCCTGTTTATTCATACTCGTTTCTTCAGATTTGGATGATTGTTCTGAAGACATTAAATTTTCTTGGGTTTTCTCCAACCTGTTTCTTTCTGACAATTTCATCGAACTCATTTCATGTTGCAATCTGCTCAGAGAATCAGCACCGGTTGTAAAAACAACATTACTTTCGCCACCATTCAAATCCTGGGTTGTATAGGAGTATCCGCTGAAAGTAGGATTAGACTCAGATTCTGTGTATATCAATCTTGGAGTATTAGAAAATGCCAGGTGACTGCCATCATAGGAAACAGAGTACGTTCTCACTGATGTTACATCTATAAAAAGCTAAAAAAAAAAAATAAAAAAGAGACATGTGTGATTTTACTTAACATAAATACATTATAGATTATTAATTGTAATTTAGCAAATAATCAAGGCTGAGGAATTGTGTGATATAAATAATATACGAGAAATTGATGTTTCGGATTTATTAGAATAAAAATTGAATATTTTGAGATAGAAATTTTGTATTTATATACAAATGCATACTTACAATAACAGTGCAAAAGAACCAGGGTAACGCCATTGTCGAGAGTCGACAAAGGGATGTGGGCCTAATGCAATTAAGGAGCACACTACCAGGATGCGTAATAATGTGATCTCTTATACACGGCGTGCATTTCACGCCCCACTCTCGCGCGTACACCTCCGCTTCTGACGACCTGATTCCGTAGAAATGTCCTGAGGGGATATGCGGGGTCTTTATTTCGATCTGTGTTGGTCTGTGTCTCGTCAGATTCGTCAAAGTTATATAGCACATGTAGATCGAATTTCGGATACTTTTATCGCGTATCTTGATGCATCAGTGAAAATAAATCGCTTAATTTAGAAGGAGAAGTTAATCTTTTTTCTCATTATGCATGTTTTTTTTAATACAACCTTTTACAAAAAAATTATATATATATATATATATATTGAAATATAAGATTATCATAAAATGAATATTTTACGAGATACTTGTTAGTAGTTTATATGTAAAAATTGCTTATGTAAAATTATATCAAATTAAAATATAAAATATCTCGTAAACTATTAAATTTTGGTCATACTACCCTTATAATTGTTTATGCCGTATATCGCGAGGAACTGATTTATGTAAATAAATTAGGGTGGCTCCATTTAAAACAATAAAAATGACCTTGAAATAATTCTGACCTTGATACAAGATTAAATAAAGATCATCATCAGATGATCTTCTCAACATCGAACAACTTTCGTTTGAACATATTTTTTATTCGATCTTACATTGCGAAGATAAAAGTGGTGATAAATTAAAATAGGGCACTCTATATAAACATAGGTCCATAGAAGCTTTATTACAAAGTTATAACAAAAAATGGCCGCGTTCAGCAGAGAAAGCGCTCAGTTATCGTCTTGTCAACACTCGACGTTGATTCGTTGGTTCTAAAAGTAAGAACCAATCACATTCGATTGCTACTAAGCGGTTTTCTCTGCTGAACGCGGCCAATGTTAAAATTTAGCGATATGAAATGTGGTGATCTTGGACGCCAAGGCCAACCATTCAATTATATTCATATGTTTTAGCATGTTTATAAGGAAAATTAAAAACATTTCCTCCCGTAAACATTGCTTCATTAGTTCACAGAATTCTTTAAGAAAAAAAAATCATCTATATACAGGGTGTTTCCTAAGTAAGTACACAAACTTGAAGGGGATATTCCTTGGCTTATTCTAAGAAGAAAAGGTCCTATAAATATGTGTCCTAAACTGCTTCGTTTTCAAAATACAAGGTGTCAAAGTTGTGCAAAGAAAATGAAAATTTCGAAAATGTGGAAAACGTTTAAAGATATTTTATTCAAATTTGGTATGCGTGGTATTAATGTGGTATTATTACATATTTTTTATTATATATTATTACATTTTATACATTTATTAGATATTATTATATACATGAAAACGAAGCATTTAAGACACATGTTTATAAGACCTTTTCTTCTTAAAATAAGTCAAGGAATATCCCCTTCAAGTTTGTGTACTTACTTAGGAAACACCCTATATATGTACTTATGCATGTATGTAATAAAGCTTCTATGAACCTATGTTTATATAACATTGTTTCCTTATTGTTATCCATAGAACACACTGGCGCAGTTTGGCCGATAAAAAAACCTGGAAACCCTGTATTTATTTTTAAATAACACAAATAATATTTATTTTAATATATTTTATAAACAATAAAAGATAGCGATATTTATAATTGTAGAAAGTGTAATTTATTTTCACATATATTTGTTATATCTACCATAAAATATTAGTTGTAATAAAAAAGTTTAAAATATAATAAAATATAGTTTCATTATTTATATATAAATTATGTTTTGGGGATAATGGGTATTTTAACTAGAATGTAATGAATCATTCTGTAAACTGGTTTAACGTCGAACTAATGACGGATTTGGCAATCATGTTTGATCTCTTTGTTAGATATGTATGAGCGAGTGGTTTGTCACGGCAGTTATTTTATATTCATGCATATTTTAATAATGATTACCGGTAGGAGATCGAACCAAAAGCAATTATGCGAGATACGTTTTGATATTTCGATTAAGTAATGGGCGTACCACGCCTTTTTCCGAAGATAATAGAGACAAAATACACAAGGTGGTCAAAAATGCGATTCACACAAGAATCCATTAAATTTTATTTAAAAAAATCATAATTACAGATTTTTCATTTTCTAAAAGTAAATATTTATTTATTTAAAAATAATGGATTATTAATTTCACGTTATATGTGATAATCTTTATCTTTAAATTCGTATTATTTTTATTCCATTGCAATATCGGGACACCCTGTATCGAGGCGTAGGCCCGAAATCCAGTTTCCGAATGACCTCTATATTTATGCCTCATTTTGTAATCGCCCAGACGAAAAAATCGTACAAACCGCCGGTTTTCGCAATCCAGGCCTCTCGTAAAATCCCTGAAATAGCTTATAGCAATTGAAAAGGATAATACTTGGCGGGCGAACCAATATAAGCAATTTCATAAGGTGTACCATTCGTGAGATAAAAAAAAACATACTTGCATGTACAAAAAAATTACAGGTATTAAGTAACACACTAAAGGAACGAGAAATATATTGCATTGACAAAATTTAATATTTTGAAATAATTTAATATTAATTATAAAAATTAAATATATATAAAATATAAAATAAATAAATTTGTTCAACAAATTTATCTCACATATATCCTTTAGTTTTATAAAATACTTACATTTTGCGCAAAATATAGCAATTTTTTATAAATTGTTTAAATTAATTAACAAAAAATATATTACGCTATAAATCTTTATTTATTATATAATTTATGAATGAATTCCAGTTTGCACAATGGCGTCATCCAATTGTGGGACTACCGTATGTGTACCCTCCTCGACAAATTTGACGAGCACGATGGACCCGTACGAGGAATATGTTTCCACAATCAGCAGCCGCTGTTCGTTTCCGGCGGTGACGATTACAAGATTAAAGTCTGGAACTACAAGCAACGTAGATGTATCTTCACCCTGCTGGGTCATCTGGATTACATCAGGACTACTGTGTTCCATCAAGAGTATCCCTGGATCCTTAGCGCTTCGGACGATCAGACTATCCGAATCTGGAACTGGCAAAGTCGTACTTGCATTTGCGTATTGACTGGGCACAATCACTATGTAATGTGCGCCCAGTTTCATCCTACGGAAGACATTATTGTGTCGGCTTCGTTGGATCAAACAGTCCGCGTTTGGGATATTTCTGGTTCGTGCAAAAAAAAATATTTTTTTATACAGGGTGTCATTTTAATCAACGCACGCAAATATCTCGTAAAGTAAGCAAGATGGAAAAAAATGTTTTATACAAAAGTTGTAGGGTTCAGAGGGGGCACATGATGAAAATAGGAACTTGACCTTGAGTGATCTTTTCAAGGCTAAGTCAATGTGATCGATATTTTCAAGCTTTTGATATAAGCTACAAGAATATGCAATAAAAAATGGGGGGTTACATTTAAGAAAATATCGATCACATTGACTTGGCCTTGAAAAGGTCACTCAAGGTCAAGCCCATATTTTCATCAGAGAATTAAATTTTATATTTAATAAAAAAATTTTATAAGCACCTTTTGTTTTTATGTATCGTGACGTCATGAATGTCATAATGGCGGATATTCTGGCGCTTTTAAAATCTTATTTTTAAGTTCTTTTTATCTTGTTATAATAATTTTACCGCAAATATTAATATTTTTTATAATGTTTTTAGAACTTGAAGTTTTATTTGGAATAATAAAAAATAATCGAAAATGACCCCATTGTTTTCATAATTATGCGATGGCAAAAAAGAATGCTTTAATAATTGGATGCAATTGCAGGATTACGGAAAAAGAACGTGGCGCCAGGTCCGGGAGGTCTCGAGGATCACCTGAAGAATCCGGGGGCGACCGATTTATTCGGCCAAGCTGACGCAGTGGTGAAGTACGTCCTAGAAGGTCACGATAGAGGCGTAAACTGGGCGTGCTTCCACGGTACGTTACCTCTGATCGTCTCCGGAGCCGATGATCGGCAGATCAAGATGTGGCGGATGAACGACGCTAAAGCCTGGGAAGTAGACACGTGTCGCGGCCATTACAACAACGTATCCTGTGTGTTATTTCACCCCAGACAGGATCTCATCCTCTCCAATTCGGAGGATAAAAGCATCAGGGTCTGGGACATGACAAAGCGCACGTGTTTGCACACGTTTAGACGGGAACACGAGAGATTCTGGGTTCTGGCCGCTCATCCGACTCTGAACCTCTTTGCCGCCGGTCACGATTCCGGAATGATCATCTTCAAACTCGAGAGAGAACGTCCCGCGTACGCGGTTTACGGAAATCTTCTGTATTATGTAAAAGACCGTTTCCTTCGAAAGCTGGATTTCACCACATCGAAGGATACGTCGGTGATGCAAATACGCGGCGGGGGAAAAACGCCGCCCTACAGTATGTCGTACAATCAAGCGGAAAACAGCCTTCTAGTGTGCACGAGATCACCATCGAATATCGAAAATAGCACTTACGATTTGTACATGATACCGCGCGAAGGGGATTCGAGCACGGATGCTGATACCAAACGGGCGTCTGGGGTCACCGCCATCTGGGTTGCCAGGAATCGATTTGCTGTATTGGATAGAGCGTATTCGGTAAATGAAGATATTTTGCAATGATTTCAAAATTTAAGAACTTAATTAATTTGTTTAAATTAGGTAATTAATTAAAATAATCTTGTATATATTCTGATTATTTTAGCACTATTTTTTGCTTCTCTAATTAATTTTATTTCTAATATATGACAATTCTACTCATTATATTTTTGTAAAACACACGTTTTCAAATGATAAATATTTGTTTTTTTTTAGTTAGTTATCAAGAATCTGAAGAACGAGGTCACGAAGAAGGTGCAAATTCCAAACTGCGACGAAATATTTTATGCCGGCACCGGCATGCTACTCTTGCGCGACCCAGAACAGGTAACGCTGTTCGATGTACAGCAGAAGAGAACTTTGGCGGAAGTGAAAATCACAAAATGCAGATACGTCGTATGGTCTAGCGACATGTCTCACGTTGCTTTGCTGGCCAAACACACTGTCAACATTTGCAATCGTCGGTTGGAATCTCTCTGTTCCGTGCATGAGAATACAAGAGTAAAATCCGGCGCCTGGGACGATTCCGGTGTGTTCATTTACACGACTAGCAACCATATCAAATACGCGATCAGCAACGGTGATCACGGTATCATCCGCACGCTGGACTTGCCGATCTACGTCACGAGGGTAAAGGGGAATCAAGTTTACTGTTTGGATCGAGAATGCAGGCCGAGAATCCTTCGAATAGATCCGACAGAGTATAAATTTAAGCTGGCACTAATTAACCGGAAATACGAAGAAGTCTTACACATGGTTCGCACTGCGAATCTCGTTGGACAGTCGATTATAGCGTATCTGCAGCAGAAGGGATATCCAGAAGTAGCGCTTCACTTCGTAAAAGATGAAAAAACGAGATTCGGTCTCGCGCTTGAATGCGGTAATATCGAAGTTGCGTTGGAAGCGGCGAGATCTCTCGATCAGAAATCGTGCTGGGAGAACTTAGCGCAAACCGCTTTGCTGCAAGGCAATCATCAAGTCGTGGAAATGTGCTATCAAAGGACCAAGAATTTTGAAAAGTTGGCCTTCCTTTACCTCATAACCGGCAACCTAGAGAAGCTGCGTAAAATGATAAAAATTGCGGAAATTCGAAAAGACGTATCGGGACAGTATCAAGGAAGTTTGCTGCTTGGCGACATTTACGAGCGGGCCAAGATTTTGCGGGTATATCTCTATTATAATTAATAATTTTATTTATTTATTTGAAAAAAAATTCATATATACATTTCTATTCGAACCCTTTGTAGAACTCTGGACAAGCATCGTTGGCGTATGTCACCGAAAAAATTCACGGCATATCAAACGAGGAGGACGACGCCCAATATGAGTCGATGAGCGAGGAACTTTCTGCACTGGAGAAGGGTGCCATATACCTCCGTCCACCTGTACCTATTCAACAAGCTGAGAACAACTGGCCGCTGCTGACAGTTTCTAAAGGTTTCTTTGAAGGCGCGATGATGTCTCGCAGTAGGACTCAGGTGGCCGCCGCTCTCGCCCTGGAAGATGACGGTGCAGCAACACCCGAAGGTTGGGGCAACGACGAGGAACTCGGTATAGACGACGAAGAACTCGTGGACGCGGAAATCGCGCCGGAAGGCGAGGAGAATCCTGGATGGGACGTCGAAGACGTCGATCTACCGCCGGAACTCGAGGTTGCGACGACCGCCAACGAAGACGGTTATTATTCTCCACCCACTAAAGGAGTTCCACCGACGCAACATTGGGTTAACAACTCAAAGTTGCCAATCGATCACATATTGGCTGGATCGTTTGAGTCCGCTTTCAGATTACTGAACAACCAGGTCGGAGTGGTGGAATTCGGGCCTTATCAATCTCTGTTTTTGAATACGTACGCCCGCTCCAGAACATCCTACGCCTGTCTGCCTAATGTACCATCGTTATACGGATATCCGCAAAGAAACTGGAAAGATACCAACTGGAAGGATGCTACATCGAAAACTGGTGTACCTGCAGTAGGATTACATCTTACGGAACTTGTTCAACGTCTTCAGATGTGCTACCAACTGACGACCAACGGCAAGTTTGCCAAAGCGATAGAGAAGCTGCAGGGAATCTTGCTAAGCGTACCGTTGCTCGTCGTCGATACTAAACAGGACATTGCGGAGGCACAACAGCTGATTCAGATTTGTCGCGAATATATCATAGGTTTGAAGATGGAAACTGAACGTAAAAGTCTACCGAGAGCCACATTAGCCGAGCAGAAGAGAATTTGCGAGATGGCGGCATATTTCACACACTGTAATCTGCAACCCGTACATCAGATTCTCACACTTCAAGTAGCTGTGAATTTGTTCTACAAATTGAAGAATTACAAAACAGCTGCTTCGTTCGCGAGGAGATTGCTCGAGCTCGGACCAAATCCTGAACTTGCGCAAAAAATTCGAGTTTTATTACAGGTACTTTTATTTTTATCGTAAATTGATATTTATATGAATATATAATATTTATATCTACAAGTAAAAAATTAATTTATTTTTCAGTCTTGTGACAAGAATCCTGTCGATGAGCATAAATTAGTGTACGATGAACACAATCCATTCTCCTTGTGCGCAAGCACATTCACACCTATTTACAAAGGAAAACCAGAAGTGAAGTGTCTATTATGCGGTGCCAGCTATAATCCACAATTCAAAGATATAGTATGCAAGATATGTGAAGTTGCTTTGATAGGCAAAGAACGTTAATATTCTATTTATATTGTTATCGCACTATTAGTCTTGTAAGTAATAAATTTTTTATTACGTTTCCAATATACAGTTAAAGTATTATATATATTTTTGTAATAGATGAACTGTGTCAATTTTTATTTGACTAATTGTAATATATGTCATTCGTTTCAAACGATCTAAAGCTGTATCTGATTTTAAGTATGCAAGATAAGCAATTTTAATAATTTAAAATAATTCAACATATTAAAGATGAAAAGAAGCAAAAAAAGGAAATATCTATTTTCGACTAGTTGTACTTTGTCATTCCGTGAAATAAATAGAAATGAATTTTGAACTTATTTCAAACATATTGATTTAATCGATTTGACAGGCGACGATGTATTTTATACTTATTTTGTTTCTATTTCAATTTATATTAATTTGAATAAGTGACTCTTAAATGCCAAAATGAAATATATAATATAAAATTCAATTTATTAATTATCAAAGATATATCGTGTTCCGACATGATTTATAAACAAAAAAATAGAAAAACTGTGTGTAAAGAAGTATATACTACGTTTATAAATAAAATATCTCTTACAGATTCCTATTATATGATATAGTAATTTCTTTGAGATGAACATACAAAATCTATAATTGTAATAATTAAATATCATATGTATTGTACACACAACACATATATGTCTTCTCACATGAAATTGCATGTATGTTTCATCTTTCAATATTCGCACATCATGACTTAATTATTCGAAAAATAACAACGCTCTTTTAAAGCAACGGGAAAATGTGACTGACTGTTTACAGCTTAGAACATATATAAATATTACACAATTATATATAAGATATAATATTTATTAATTATATATTATATTTTTATTATTTATATGTTCTAAGAATTACAGTTTGACATATCCGCGTTTGATACATGTCAAAAAAATGAGTTTAAAATATCAACCAATCATATTTATAACATAAATGACGTAATAATATGGCGCCTTAAGTTTTCAGGCTTGCGATTGGTTTATTCTCTTATTACAATCATTTCAGATTATTCAAATATCTTTAAATATCTTATAATTCATTCACTATAATATTCTATTGAGTTATACATATCTGCACTTATTTCTAACATTAGTTGAAGAGAAGGATATTTTACAGAAAAAAAAGATATTTCGATGGGTATATATCAATTGGACATAATGCTTATTGACCAATTGAAACTGAGGTCTTTTGATTGGTCAATCGTGTTGATTAATCTAGGCACTGGTCGATATGAGTGATTGTGGCTGCGGTCAGAAAGATGCTAGAAATGCTTCGAAGCGTTTGATTGACCAATCAGAACAAAAAGAGTAAAGATCTATTTATTCTGATTGGTTAATGAAATGCTTTAAAGCGTTTGATTGATCAAAAGAGTAAAGATTTCTTTATTCTGATTGGTTAATGCAATGCTTCGAAGCATCTCTAGCGTCTTACCGACCGCAGCCTGTGTCCAATCCAACTGTGTCTAAAGCCCGTATCAGACTACGCATTGTAAATTGAAGATTGAAGATTAAAGATTGGAATTTGATTAATCAGAACAAAAGAAACTAAAATTTCTTTGTCTTGATTGGTCAAATTTCAATCTTGAATCTTCAATCTCAAAGTATCTCGAAGTATTAATTCGCACCTAGTGCGGCGTAGGACCACGGTGGAAACACCAAACTTAAAGTTGAACTCTACCCAATGGGATGTTTCCACCGTGGTCCTACGCCGCACTAGGTGCGAATTAATACTTTGGTGGAAACTAGACCAATCTTCAATGCTTTAAGCCCGTATCAGACTATGCATTGAGATTGAAATTTGACCAATCAGGACAAGGAAATTTTAGTTTCTTTTATCCTGATTGGTCAAATTTCAATCTTCAATACGTAGTCTGAGACGGGCTTAAATGAACCTCTCCCGTTTCGATTGCTCTCTTCTTTTTTTGGACAAATGGCCACTAGCGTCTCTAGTGGCAGTAATCTGTGAAAAATTTAATTACAAGAAAAATATTTTCTACATGCATAATTAATCATTAAATTCTTTATATTTACGCGCTAATAAAATAAAGTAATGAAAAAAAAAAAACCATTGAAATAATTTCGAAAGAGAAACTAGGGCTATGTTCCAAAACGGACTCTCCGAGGAAAATTTTACTCCGATTGCCGTTCCGAAACTTTTTTGAGCGTCTCTGATTGGTTCCAGGCTGGCCATCGAGTAAAATTTTCCTCGGAGAGGAAATTTTACACCGTGGGTCTGTTCTTTGCAGCTGAACTGGCTGCACTGGTTCAGAGTTCATCTTTTTCTCTCCCCATTGGAAGGAGAAGGATGGACTCTGAACTGGTGCAGCCAGTTCAGCTGTAAACAGACCTCGTTTTGGAACTAGCCTAAAGAACGATCGATTTTCGCGAAGTCGAGAATCGACCAATCGAACACTCCCCAATAATCCCCTGGAATCCGGCGTCGGTTGGCAACGCGCCTGTGTTACCGCTTGTTGCCGACGCGAGAGAGTTGTGTGTGCATGCAATGGTGGACGAAGTTCTCGAAGGCCGCTCGAAGTTCGCGCCGTCAAGCTACCGACCAGTTGTCTGGCCGTTTCTCCGATAACGTACGACGAATATCGCTCGCTGCCGGTGTCACGTCGTCGTGTCTCCCCACGATCGTGCCATAGTGATATATCTCCATTGCCGCGCCGTACGTTCTCGATGCAAGTTTCACCGTCAGGCAGGAAGAGGGGAGGAGCAACAGCGCTTTCGCGTATACCCGGAATCTCGCCGCCCGATTAATTTCGAGTCTTCGAGAGAGAGAGAGAGAGAGAGAGAGAGAGAGAGAGAACGAGCCTCGAAGCACGACTACGACGTAGAGCTGCCGCTCTAGAATCTTCGCAACCGGTGCCCGTAAACACCGCGCACGTAAATACAGAGACACACGCATACACGCGCGCGGCGTCGTCGTGCGCAAGAGGCATATACACAGTGCGCGTTCTGTGATAAAGGAGGACGCCCGGTATAATTCATCGTGTATCGCGCCACTTTCGGGTTAACTCGGCGGCGGCGGCGGTGGTGGTGCTGGTGGTGGTTTGAGAGTAATAACGATAGCAGGTAGTCAAGTAGTCGTACGTTCGCGCGGCATGAAAAAATGATGTGATCGACGGTCATCATGGCGGCACCCATGCTAAAGTGGAAGCGGATCGCGAATCCGACCGGGCCCCAGCCAAGACCGAGGCATGGCCATCGGGCGGTCGCCATTAAGGATCTCATGGCGCATACACGCGCGCGGCGTCGTCGTGCGCAAGAGGCATATACACAGTGCGCGTTCTGTGATAAAGGAGGACGCCCGGTATAATCCATCGTGTATCGCGCCACTTTCGGGTTAACTCGGCGGCGGCGGTGGTGGTGCTGGTGGTGGTTTGAGAGTAATAACGATAGCAGGTAGTCAAGTAGTCGTACGTTCGCGCGGCATGAAAAAATGATGTGATCGACGGTCATCATGGCGGCACCCATGCTAAAGTGGAAGCGGATCGCGAATCCGACCGGGCCCCAGCCAAGACCGAGGCATGGCCATCGGGCGGTCGCCACCCTCCCCCTCGCTCGTCCCGCGAGCGCGACGCAATCGCGCTTCCCGTCATTCCACGTTCGCGCTTCTTCGCCTTCTCTCCCTGCCTCTCGCTCCCTCTCGCGCGCACCGCACTCTCCTTCTCCCGCGTGTACGAGATCGCCGCCCGCTATCGCGCATGCGCGCGCCGTTGCGCGCATTTCCAATCGGATTTCGAAATGTTTGTCCCCGCGCGCGAGCTCGCCATGGTAACAGCCGGAATGCATATGGATCCTTGTATTTTCTAGGCTGCTTACTCGGCGTATTTCTCCTCGCTTTTCCATTTTTTCTTTCCAATGCTTCAATGCACTTGATTCATTTGAATGAAGCAGATCTATTAAAAATTTTTTTATTCAAGCAAAAGTCATGCATTTTTTTATTTTACTTAAGATTTGTAAAGCTGTAACAGAGAATTGAAGACATTTCTCGGTACAGATTTGGAATAATCTGAATTACCTGATTTTTTTTCTTTAATTTTTCTTTAATATTTTTGTTGCATTTTTTCAGAAATATAATAACAGGGTGTTTATTCCCTGGAAAAACCTGAAATTTTCAAGGATTTTTTTATACCTGAAAAGATCAGGGGATTCTTATGGAATTTTATTGGGACACTAAATTTTTTTAAAAATTCTCTCTGATAATTTTGCTTTTTTATCGTAAGCAGTCGGGAAATCAAATGAATTATGTATTTAAAATATATTCTAAATATATATCTATTTCTGTTCATATATTCAATGTCAACAAAATATTGAATAGTACACATTTTTTATTGTAACTTTTAGTGATAAAATAATGAAAATGTTATGCAAGTGAAAAAAGTTAATCTCGCGAAAACTATTTAGTTTTTTTCAGTACAGTTGCAAATTTAATACTTGAAACTTAAGAAGCTCTATGTTCTTTTTTCATATGACTGACAAATATTAGAAAGTGCATAAATAAAAAAACTTATTTTTAAAATTCGCACTAAAAAAATTTTTTTAAATATTGTCTACTGGGTTTTTGACCAAAAATACCTGGAAAATCAGGAATTTTTTTTATAAGATTTAAGTAGAGATCCTGAGTAAGTTACAGAAAAAAGACAACTCTCTTCTAACTTAAATTTAAAACCAATAAAATATATGTGAATTTTATATATATATGTAACTTTATTCTTTAATTATGTTTTAAAGTTGTAATTAAATTTATAAATTTTTAAGTTACTTGAAATAATAAATTAAATTCTGTGGAAATTTTATAATAAATAATAAATAAAATTTCATACTTGATTAAATTATTTGTATGAAAAGTACTTGTGTATAAAAGTACTTGTTTATAAAAAATATATATTCAAAGCAGCTCATTATCTTTATCAATTTGTTGTTTTTTTGTTAATATCAAAAACAAAAAATTGTGCAAATGTTGCATAATTTTGCATTATGACGTTTATATAAAATATATTTTTGCAGCAACAAACCAATGGTTCGTGCCATCCACAAAGGGAGATATCCCGCCAGGTTGCGCGGCGTACGGCTTCGTCGTCGACGGCACGCGTATCCTGGTCTTTGGCGGAATGGTGGAGTACGGCAAGTATTCCAACGAGCTGTACGAACTCCAAGCGAGTCGATGGGAATGGAAACGCTTGAAGCCGAAACCACCTAAACACGAGCCACCGCCGTGTCCGCGATTGGGACACAGTTTTACTCTTATCGGCAACAGGGTCTTCCTTTTTGGTGGTCTCGCGAACGACAGCGACGATCCGAAAAACAATATACCGAGATATCTAAACGATCTGTACACCCTCGAACTTCTTCCCAATGGCCAAACGGCCTGGGATGTGCCGCAGACGCACGGACACGCGCCACCACCCAGAGAATCTCATACCGGAGTCGCATACACGGATCGTACGACGGGTAAATCCTGTCTGGTGATTTATGGCGGTATGAGCGGTTGTCGTCTGGGCGATTTATGGTTTCTCGATGTCGATTCGATGACCTGGAATAAACCAGTGGTTCACGGACCCACTCCTCTGCCGCGATCATTACATACTGCCACTTTGATCGGTCATCGCATGTACGTATTCGGGGGATGGGTGCCATTGGTCGTCGACGACGTTAAAGTCGCGACACATGAGAAAGAATGGAAATGCACAAGCACACTAGCATGTTTGAATCTAGGTGAGTTACATTTCATGATTTCTCCTTAAATACTGCGCTTATGTCGATGATACTACATAAAATTCCAATCGTTATAATATTGCTGAGATTGTCTGTGAACAATGTATGTGATAACAAAATTTTATTGTTGAATATGCGGTAACGTAACTCGTTTGCGATCCGGTAAATCCAGCCGACATAGTCCAGAAGAATGGAAATATTATTGGCGTATTAAATAAAGAAATATTCAAGTCTGGAATTGTTCAAGTATACATGGAATGATTGGTATATAGAAGTATCTTGACATAAATTTATCAGTTTTGTGAATCAGTTTGATAAACTTCAAGCTGTTCTTCGAGAAGAAGGTTATTTATCGGGAAGGCTTATTTTTGAAACCCCGTTTGCATTCTGTTTTATCATTTAAATTATATATTTTTATTTCAGAAACTCTTACGTGGGAACAATTAACCGTTGATTCCTTGGAGGAAAATGTTCCACGCGCTCGCGCTGGTCACTGTGCGGTTGGTGTGCACAGTAGACTCTACGTATGGTCTGGTAGGGACGGCTATCGTAAAGCTTGGAACAACCAGGTTAGGGTTAGTCTTGGTTATATGATCTTTGACCGGATGGAGTGTCGCTTTACTAACGAGACCTCTGTGTTTCTTAGGTTTGTTGCAAGGATCTATGGTATCTCGAGGTCAGTAAACCGGCGCCGCCTTCCAGAGTTCAGCTGGTTAGGGCTTCCACGCAAACGTTGGAAGTCAGCTGGACAGCGAGCCCGTCCGCGCAATATTACATCCTTCAGATACAGAAGTACGACATGCCGCCGGCGGCGACCGGCGCTTTCCCGCCTGTGAGCGCACCAGCGCCTGCAGCACCCATCGTCAGCACCACCCCCACAGCGGCGGCGACGACTCCTGTGATGGCGGCAACCCCCGCGACTGTGCCCGTCACGTCTCCGCCCGTGACCACGGTCGCTGCTCTTCCTCCGACTATCCCGCCCGCCGCCGCCGCCAGATCAACTGTCACATCGACGGTGACGACTCCGTCGCGAGTCCAGTCGGCTGCACAAAGTCCCGTACAAAAAGTGGTGTCACCGCAGCTGGTGCAAAAACCGGCGAGTCCCATGACTCCGAGAGTCGTGACGGGTAACGTCATACGTATTCGTTCTCCCCTGGTTACTTCCACAGTCGCAGCAGCAATACCGACGGCGGTAGCGGTGGCCACCACCGAGCAACAGCAAACCACTGCGACCGCGACTACAACTGTGGCGTCAGGCCAAACACCCGCCGCCGCAATGTCTGGCATCGCCGCTCTGGCCGCTGCAGCAGCCGCCACTCCGAAAATCACCATGAACAATGTTCCCATTTTACCACAGGCCGGTGCCGTGACCGCGACAAACACCATCAGAATGAAGAATGTTCAACCGGGTCAGCAGATACGCTTCGCTGCGCCCGGTGCCACAGTATTGCGCACCACTTCGCCGCAGCAAAGCAAACAGATCATACTGCAGAAGCCCGGCCAGAACATATCTGGTCAGCAAATTGTGCATCTTCTCAAGACCGGACAGGGTATGGTGACCACGGTGCCCAAAGTGAGCCTCATTCCCGGCAAGACTGTCCAAGCGGCTGGCGCGAAGCCTCTCAACCAGGGACCGACAATATTGCGACTGGTAAATCCCAATACGGTGGCAGGATCGAAGATTCTCACGACCATGAAGACATCCGGAATAGTAGCGATGAGCAAAGGACAGAATATCACGGGCAAGCAAACTATAATGATTACCAAACCAGGAGGCAATGGCGGATTGGTCGGCAGACCTAATCAGATCATCGTCGTTACGACGGGTTCGGGTCTTAGAGCTGTGCAAGCTGTGACGACCTCACAGGCTAGTACGGGACAAGGGGGTAACATTACTACTCCCGTCAACGTCTTACCGTTGTCGGCTACGAATCATGTCACGAATCAGCAAGGCGTCAAGATGATCGTCGTTTCTTCGGGCGCGATGGGCGGAGGAACTGCTGGCAAGCCTATCACTATCACAGTCCCAGGACAGGGCGGTGTACCAAAGACAGTGACTATCGCTACGAAAGGCAGTCCGCAAGCCATCTTCAATCCCGGCAAGAGTCAAATCGTTGCCGTGCCACAAATGCAAAAAACTCCCGTAAGTGTATAGGAAGAGAACATATATATATACATAAAAGATCTTATATATGTAATATATAATTTATTTACAAATTGTAGGAAGCAGTGATGTCTGGAAAGCCAGTGACCTTGCAAATGTCGGGAGGCATAGGTGCAAAGACGGTGACGCTTATGCCAACAAGTAGTTCTATAGTAACTACTTCGAGTGCGTCAGATTCGATAGACACCGGTAAAATGCTCTTTGTTTCTTCGAAACAACCATCAGCTTCCTTAGGTGAATAGAGTCATGTTTTTCAACATTAAGATGATATGACAAAAATTGCGAAGTTGAATCACACAGTAAAATAATATTTCAGCATCTACGTCTGACGGCCCAGCTACTACTGACGCTGCATTAGCCGCGTTAGCAGCAGAGGCAGGTCTAATTGATCCAGTTCAGGAACCATCTGGTGGCTTGTCATTTATGGTAGCTACAGATGATGGAGCTACTGGTGACGATAAGATGGAGGACAGCTGTAATGGTAACGAAGCGACCACAGCGGCCGCTTTAGTTTCGCAGATGAGCGCGGGCGAACCGATGCAAGTCGATGGCGATGGAAACTTTGTACTTCCACAAGTTGACGGACCGATTGATGCTCTCTTGTCGGAAGACGAGGAGAAGATGGATCTAGACGAGGAGCCTGCTCCTTCGGAAAGCGCTCCTACCGAATCGACTAATGTCGATGAACCGGCAGCAGTCACGGAACAAGACGTTAATATTCAGGCTGAAAATGTTCAAACGGAAGAATCCACAGTAAATGAGGAAGCCGCCACGCCCGAAGCGGCAACAACCGATCCTCCCGAATCGATTATTCCTGCCACCACCAACGAAGTTCCCGAAGAAATCCCTGATAATCCACCAGCCGATGACGTACCTATCGAAACTAGCGCTGATGATGCGGAGCAGCCGAGTGAAAAGGAGGTGGATATTAAACCGTTAATTGACGAAACGAAAACGATTCCTGAAACGAAACCTGATTCACCTTTGGTACAATCGCCCGTGGAAGCTCCATCTGAACAGACGACTTTGGAGGACATTGCAAATCCAACAGTGACGAAAACTGACGAAACCCAACAAGAAGAGAGCAGCCAAGCAAAGGATAAAGAGCTCGAATCGCATTCTGCTGAAGACGAAAAATCCTCGGCGACTGAGAATCTATCTGCTGAAGATACGAATCTTTCCACAACGCATCTTTCCAAAGATGAAACTCGAGAAGCTAAGAAAGTGAAGGAAGAGGCGGAACCGGAAATCGATCTTCCGGTCGAGAATTCTCTCACAAAATCAGAAGAGGTCAATGAGCCGATGATCACTGACGATGCCACATTAACTGCGGCAGTTAATGTAACGCCGACAACGACTCCCGTCGTTACGCCGAGTATACAATTGAAACTGGAACCCACAACAGACGAACCTATGGAACAGGACAAGTCGCCCGATCTACCAATATCATCGATCAACGGTGTCGCCTTGCCTCTCGAGAAGGAAACAGAAACCGTAGCAAAAGTACACACTCCTGTGAAAATGGAGGTGAAAGACGAACTTGCGTCTTCGAAAAGAGAAAATTTGAAGCAAGATAAGCTTAATGATGCTAGGTCGGAAACTGGAGACGACTCGACGGCTTTGACGACGTTGGCTACAGCTGCTTTGGGATCAGCCGAGTCACCGATAAAAGTTAAAAACGAACAGGTAGATCCTATTATAATGCACTGTATTTGCAACAAATATACACATAAATACTATCGTTAACTGATACTTTCGCAGAGCGAGGAGGAGAAGAAAGAGGCAGAATGGTATGACGTTGGTGTAATAAAAGGAACCAGCTTCACGGTCCAGCATTACTACCTTTCTGGCGATGAGCCGCTAGATATTACGCAACCCTTGACGATGGATGTTTTTAAAGGAAGAGCTAAAGTAGCATTAGAACCCGGAACTGCCTACAAATTCAGAGTTGCCGCTGTGAATACTTGCGGACAAAGTGCCTGGAGCGAGGTAACCAGTCTCATTCTATACATATATAATATTTATTTGATAGGAAAATATTTTTGTGATAAATAAAATTTACGAAAATTTTTGCTTTCGTTACAGGTAGCAGCATTCAAGACGTGTCTTCCGGGTTTCCCGGGTGCACCGAGCGCTATAAAAATATCAAAGTCCGCAGACGGCGCACAAATCTCTTGGGAACCGCCACCAAGCAATGTTGGTCCCATCCTCGAATATTCCGTCTACCTGGCAGTGCGCAGTACCGCGTTGAACAATGACGGGGAACCAAAAACAGTCGTGTCGAATCCAAATCAGTTAGCCTTTATTAGAGTTTATTGCGGTTCGAGTAATTCCTGTTCGGTGAACAATAGTGCCCTTAATGCCGCTCACGTGGACACCACTACGAAACCGGCCATAATCTTTAGAATAGCAGCACGAAACGACAAGGGTTACGGACCGGCGACTCAAGTCAGGTGGCTACAAGGTTAGTTGCACAATTCGTCCGAGAATGTGTATGTGTGTGACTGTGAATCCTTTCGAAAGAATGCATTTGAACAAACGCTTTATTATTATCAGCAGATCCAACCACAGCTGTGAAAAGTAATCCGCAAGCGAAGAGACCCGGTACGGACCTACGCTCGCAAGTGACTTCCCCGCAGAAGAAGATGAAGATGGAAACAGCCGGTGATAATTTCTCGTGAGCCCGTTCTCTCCCTGGCCTCGTACAGCCGTGACTCCCGCGAGCGATGCTACTCATTATTTAATTTACACACGCCTAACAACGATAACGAAATCCAATGTATTATCGAGTATAAACAACGTGATATATAAGTAAAACGAAAGATATGAATACTCGATAAAAAAAAGAAAGGGATAGGGTGAAAAAGGTGTGTGTCTATAGTTAGATTTAATCTAAATGTAAGAAGTATAAAAAAAAAGTATTTTTAATGTTCTGTATGGACGTCCTTCTATATCGCGTTCCTTACTCACCGTCATCCTTCTACTCTTTCGCGCGTGACTGCGCGAGAATCCTTTGCGAAGACAACACAAGTACCGTTGATAAATAATGACGAGATGATTTTCTTTTTTTTTTTTCTCTCTTTTTTTGGAGTTAGTTTTTCCATGTTTATAGCGCACGCGTTTTCTATGAAGAACGGTACAACATATCGCATCTAAATGCTCACAAACAGTTGCATCGCGCAGATTGTACGCGTACTTTGATGATTTTCGCGTTATCTGGCAACCCTTTGATGAATTTGACGCAGACGCTGTATGGGAATGACAGAATAGCTGGCTGAACAGGACTTGTATATTCGGATACTTTGTGTATTTGTTTGAACAATTATATATACATATATATACGACAAAAAATCTATATATTTTGCCAACACACATTCAAATTCTTTATAGTATATTTATCATTATACTAGAGCACCTGCAATTCTTTTTATATTTACCATTGTGTGCACGATGGCAGAGAAAGCTCGCTTCTAAGATGTAGGTATATTTTAATGTACATAAAACTCTTACACTGAGAAAAATGTGTTTATCATATTCCGAAAAAATAAAATTAATACTTTTTGATAAGGGTAGGATATAATGTAATTGGAAGATACGCATACATACACACATGCATATATATA